TCAGTTCATCAATTCATTCAACAAATATGTATTCTGTCCCTTTTCCATGACTTTAGGCAAACAGTTCAGCTGCTCTGTGCCTTTGTTTCCTTGTTTGTAAATTGAGGGCAATAATAATTTGAGTCATTATTAGATAAATATGAAAAATTGGTAGAAAAGTCAAAGTTAGAATACAGTTGGTACGTATTATTTCCTTCAGGTATCATGAAAATTAATGTGTTTTAAAAATTAACTCAGGTAGGAGAGCTATGAATCTCAAATGAAGCATTTAAATCAGGTTACTGAAAGGAGGAAGGGAAGAAATTAACATTTATTAAGTGTCAGTTATATGCAGACCTTGCTATATGCATTTCACAAAGATATTATTTCATTAAATCTTCACAACAATTCTTTGGAGGTAGGTATTTGTAGCCCCATCATATATAAGAGGAAAATGAGCTCAGAAAGTTGCATAAATTGTCCAAATCACATAGCAATGGTGGATTCCGGATTCCAAAGCTCTTGTTACATCCACCCTGGAGACAGACTGTTACATCTTTTTAATTGCACCCTTTTTCGCTCCCAAGCAAAAAGCACATAGTGAAGTAGAAGGCTGCCTCAAATAAAGCAGAGTACAAAATCCACTTCAGTTTTGTCTCAACAATTTTGGACTTTTGCTAAAACACCAGCACTGCAAAATAACAAAAAAATCTAATGAAGTCTGAGGGAAATAATTGCTCACTGACTCCAACTATCTTTTGAAGAGATTCCAAAAGGCACATTTTAAGATTTTCATAGTTCCATTACATTCAAAATGAAACAGTAGTTCGTAAAAAGGGAAAATATTGCATCTTTCTCCAAAGAGAAATAACAGAAATCTGCCTTGAATCAAAAGCATTGTGCTATAGCACTTAATACCACGTATACTTGAAGTATCTGGTAAAGCTGTGATTTCAGTAGGATATGGAGTGACATATCGCTGAAGTGAGTGAATCTTAGGGTGCAGAACTGATTCATTTCTGTCATTTGGGGTACTGTAATTTCTAGAATAATAGCTTAGGACAGTTTTATAAATAGCAAATACCTTCCAAGCTACACTATCAAGGCTGCTAATAACAAGCCTGCTCTTCAGAACTTCAACTGCTGAAGAGTTCGTGGTGATAGAAAGCCACCCCTTTCTGTTTTTTTATAATTAACCAGAAATGATTTTTGGAAGTCAAATTTTTCCAGTATGTTTGAGAAATTGGTGTTAAAACACTTTTTTTTTCTTTTTTGCTGTAAAGGTAATATATAATCAAATAAATCCAAACAATAAAGGAGAAAAAAAAAAGACTTTGAGACTACGATGGCCATACTGCTATTTGAGTAAATTTTCTTCCAAATTTTCCTATTTGTGCATATGTGTAGGTATTAAATTTATATGTGCATACATAGATTTTAAATAAAATTAGAGTTTGAACAGAACTTGCTGAATGCTCAACCAATACCTTTGTATAAAGTCTCTGCTTTCTTCCTTCAAATAATATTGTGAGCATATGTCTATGTCATTTGGAGTTTTTTAAAAACCTCACTTGTGGTATTATATATTTCATTGCATACACACATACACACATATATGTGTATTATATATGTATATCGTGTGTGTGTGTGTGTGTGTGTGTGTGTGTGTGTGTGTATACCTTTCCCTCCTTAAGAAATATTTAGGTTGTTTCTAATTTTTCTTGCTATAAATATTACTAAGGTAAGCGTTCTTTTCTATAATCATTAAGTACATGACTTATTTCCTCCTTAGAGTAGAATCCTGGAAATGGGATTATTCCTTCAATGAGGATAAATATTTTAAAGACCATTGAGAATTAAAGCAAAACTGATTTCTAAAAGACTGCATCAATTATATGGCCATTGTGACATGACAATACTTGTCTCAAGATATTAATCTCAGCCCTAAGCATAATATTTGATCTTTGTCTCTCTGATGGGAAAATGCCATTGCTACTTTAATTTGTATTTTTTAGAGTGTAAAATTGAAATGTTTATAGGACATTTTTCTCTTTTCTCTTTTGTGATGTGCTTAGTCATATTCTTGGCCTATTTTTCTTTTGGTCTTTTTTTGTCAGTTTATATATGCTCATTATACTTTAAGAATATTATGATTTGTGTCATAGTTATCGCTAGTATTTTCCCGGTTTTAACTCAACATTTTATTTTATAGATAAATTTATTTTATACAAGTTTTGCTGCTATGTGTAATCAAATCTGATGATTAATTTCATTGCATTTATCTCAGGTGATAGAATTTTAATGGTTTCACATTTTGGACTAATTTTATTATTCATGTGGATTTCATTTTGGTTCTACTAAAGGAAATATTTACTTGCTTCAAATAAGCAACATTCACAAGAGAATTTAATATCCATTGTGAAAAGTTGGTTAAACCTTAAATATTTCACAATCATATGGTAAGTGAAATGAAACTAATCAGTTTTACATATTTTAACATATTCTTAGGTGGTCTTGGGACTGTTTCAGGGCTTTCAATCTTGTTTCTTTCAGTTGCCTCTTTATTTTAGCTTATTATCACACTCCTTTTAATTATTATAATAACTTTAGGATATATAGTTTATATCACCTATTACTAATCATACTTTTCTTTTTGGTTATTCTTTATTTATGAAAACCATATTCTCCATGGCTTATACTTCTAGACGAATTTCACATTTTTATTATTTTTTTGCCTTTTATTTTTTGAGACAGTGTCTCACTCTATTGCCTAGGTTGGAGTGCTGAAACTTCTGCCTTCCCAGTTAAAGGAATTCTTGTGCCTTGGCCTCCAACTAGCTGGGATTACAGGCATCTGCCACCACGCCAGGCTAACATTTGTATTTTTAGTAGAGATGGGGTTTCACCACGCCAGCCAGGCTGGTCTCAAACTCCTGACCTCAAGTGATGAGCCCGCCTCGGCCTCCCAAAGTGCTGAAATTACAGGCATGAGCCACTGCAACCCGTCCCCCAATCCTATTTTTATTTTAAAAATGAGTAAAACTTGTATGTTAATTTTCGAAAAATTGAAGTTTTTACAATAGATAGTGGTCCATGCAAGTATATAACATACTTTTTAAATTTAGTATTTCAAAGTTGAGTTCAGTAAGTTTATTTCTTCATATTTATCCTGAACATTTCTTGTTGAAATTATCATAAACATTTTACACATTTTTCCTCTTTGTGATTTGAACTGAATCATTTTCCCTCATTTACAACTCACTGAGGTGATCACTGTTTCACAGGGAGATTATTACTGTTTATTAATGTGTATATCTTCATCTGCATCCAATTTCATAAACTTTCTTAGTAAATTTATGAGTATTTCAGTTGATCCTTTTAAATTTTCTGGAAAATGTATCCTATAATTTATCCTAAATTTAATATGATATCCTAAAATTATCCTATATAATTTTCCTTATTTCCAATATTTACTCCTATGCTTTGCATCTTTCTCAGGACCCAGAACTTAGAGGGTAATGGTAACACCAGAAGACAGTCACATTTTATCTTGCTCATGATCTTAAAGAGGATATCTTATATTTTTTATTAAGTATATTTGTAGGATTATAAACATGATCTTAAAGAATATTCCTTATCATATGAAAACTTTATTCTTGTTTTCTAAGAGGTAAACAAATCAGGTTAAATTTTATTGGATGTTTCTTAAGTAGCTCTTAAGATCACCTTATGATATTTCTTAATCATAAGAAACTGGACCTATCATCAGGGTGCATTTAATTAATGATTTTTTTAATATTAAATCATCTTTACATATGTGTGATAAACAATACTTAGCAATTATTCTTTTGCTATGTTCTGGAAAGATCCAGAGAAAAGATTTATTTTTTTCTGTGAAAATTAAAAAATGCCTAATCTCTCTCTTTTTTAAAAAAACTGCATTTTATCTTTAATTGACAAATAATAATTGTATATATCTATGGGGTACAATGTAATGTTTCAATATATACATACATTGTGGAATGACCAAATCAGTCTAATTAGCATGTCCATCACCTCACATAATTATCATTTCTCAGTGGTGAGAAAATTTAAAATCCACTCTTTTAGCAATTTTGAAACATACAATACATTATTATTGACTACCATCACCATGCTGTGTAATAGATCACCACAACTAATTCCTTGTGTCTAACTCAAACTTTGTACCAGTTGGCCAACATTTCCTCTTTCTCCATCCACTCCCCTGCCCCACCTCAGCCTTTGGTAACCACCATTCTATTCTCTTCTGTGAGTTTGACTTTCTTACATTCCACATGTAAGTGAGATGATATGGAATTTGTCTTTCTGTGTTGTGCTTATGTCACTTAGCATAGGATACTCTAGATTCATCCATGTTGTCAAAAATGACAGAATTTTCTTCTTTTTTAAGCCTGACTATTCCATTGGGTATATATACCACTTGTTAAAATGCACTAATCCATTGATGGGCACTTCAGTTGTGTTCATATCTTAGCCATCGTGAACAATACTGCAACAAACTGAGAGTCCAAACTGATTTCAACTTCTTTGGATATATATCCAATAGTAGCATTGCTGGATCATGTGGTAATACTATGGTAATGCTATTTTTCATTTATCGAGGTACCACCATACTGCTTTCCATAATAGCTGTATTAGTTGGCATTCTCATCAATAGTGTACTAAGGTTTCCTTTTCTTCGTATCCTCATCAACACTTATCTTTCATTTTTTTATAACATTCTAACTGGTGTGAGGTGATACCTCATTGTGGTTTTAATTTGCATTTCCCTGAGGATCAGTGATATTGAACAGTTTTTTATATACCTGTTGGCCATTTGTATGTCTTCTTCTAAAAAATGTCTATTCAGGTCGTTTGCCCATTTTTAATTAGCTAATTCAGGTTTTTTTTCTTACTGAGTAGTTGGAATTCTTTATATGTTTTGGATATTAGCCCCTTACCCGATACATAATTTGCAAATATTTTTCCCAATCTGTGAGATACATTTTCACTCTGTTATTTCCTTTGCTGTGCAGAAATATTTTAGTCTGACACATTCTCATTTTTCTATTTTTCCTTTTATTGTCGATGCTTCTGTTGTCATAGTGCATAAATCATTATCTAGTCCAATATCATGAAGTTTTTCCCCTGCTCTGTTAGTTTTACAGTTTCATGCCTTACATTGAGGCCTTTAATCTATTTTGAGTTGATTGCTTTTTGTATCTGGTATGAGATAAGTGTCCAATTTCGTTCTTCTGCATTTAGATACACAGTTTTCCCAGCACAATTTATTGAAGAGACTGTACTTTCCCCTTTGTTTGTGTATTAGTCCGTTTTAATACTGCTATAAAGAACTGCCCAGTACTGGGTAATTTATAAAGGAAAGAAGTTTAATTGACTCACAGTTCAGTATGGCTGGGGAGGCCCCAGGAAACTTATAATTATGGTGGAAGGCAAAGGGGAAGCAAGGCACCTTCTTCAAAGGCGGCAGGAAGAAGAATACTGAGTGAAGGAGGAAGAGTCCCTTATAAAACCATCAGATCTCCCGAGAACTCACTCACTATAATGAGAACAGTATGGGGGAAACTACCCACATGATTCAATTACCTCCACCTGCTCTCTCCCTTGACACACGGGGATTAGGGGAATTACAATTCAAGTTGAGATTTGGGTGGGGACACAAAGCCTAACCATATCAGTTTGTTCTTGGCACCTTTGTCAAAAATCAATTATCTGTAAATGTACAGATTTATTTCAGGACTCTATTATGGTCCATTGATCTATGTGTCTGTTTTTATGCCATGTTGTTTTGATACTAAAGCTTTGTAGTATCTTTTGAAGTCAGGTAGTGTGATGCCTCCATCTTTGTTTTTTGCTCAAGATTACTTGCTATTTGGGGTGTTTAGTGGTTCCATATAAATTTTAGGATTGTTTTTCTATTTCTGTGAAAAGTGTCATTGGAATTTTGGTGGGGATCTTAATGTCTCTTTTTAAAAAACCATTTTTTGTAACTTTTTCCTACTGTTATTGGTCATTAAGTATTTCCATTTCTTCTTGGTTCAACTTTGGCAATTAATGTTTACCTAAATACTCATTCCATTTCCTTAAGAGTTTTGACTCTAAAATTGCATACTCATAATTAAACATTGCTATCTCTTCTGCACCTGTTGTTACATATTCTAATTGGATTTGCCAGTTTATTTTGTTATATTTTCTCCAATGAATCATCTCAGAACTATTACGTCTACAAAAATTTAATATATTGATTTCCTGTCCTCAACTTTATTTCCTTACTTCTACTTTCCTTAGATTTGTCTTATGTATTTTCTAATTTTTTTGTCTTGAATGTTTGTTTTATTTAATTCTTACTTTAAAAATGAAAACCTATGTGTCTCTAAATGTGCCTCTGGTTAGAGTTTATATCTATATCTTTAAATGCGTAAATGCAATTTCCTCATTTTCTTCATTTTTCTAAATAGTTTGAGATTGGGGGTTTCTTTTTGGACCAGTTAGTTATTTAAGAGGCATATCGGGCCGGGCGTGGTGGCTCAAGCCTGTAATCCCAGCACTTTGGGAGGCTGAGGCGGGTGGATCATGAGATCAAGAGATCGAGACCATCCTGGTCAACATGGTGAAACCCCATCTCTACTGAAAATACAAAAATTAGCTGGGCATGGTGGTGCACGCCTGTAGACCCAGTTACTTGGAGACTGAGGCAGGAGAATTGCTTGAACCCAGGAGATGGAGGTTGCGGTGAGCTGAAATCGCTCCATTGCACTCCAGCCTGGGTAACGAGTGAAACTTTGTCTCAAAAATAAAAAATAAAAATTAAAAAAAGAGGCATATCTTCAATTTCTTGAAGGTTTGGTTTCTTATTAATGTTACTGAAACTTCTGTAAGAGAGTGAAGTATTATTTGTTTATGCTAAACAATGTTGTAATCTTTATTAAACACTTGTGAATCACATTAATTTAATTCTCTACATCCCTTCTTTGCCAATTTGATTTTTTTAAAAAACTCACCAGAATGTATTATAGTCATTGATACTAATTACTTATACACTGTTACTTCCAAAAGACAACCGATTTTGTCATGATTTCATTACTTACAGGAAATTCACTGGCATATCTTTAGTTTGAATTGTGTATTTTAGTAATATAAAAAAACTCAGTGTCCCTTTAAAATGCTTTTTTTTAATTCAACTTTTCCTGAGATTAGTATTTTCCATTATTTTCTGTCTTTATCTTATGAGTTTCTCATTTATTATATTATTGTTATTATTATTTTAAGCTTTGTGATTCTGCATTCAGGGTGTTTCCTGTAAGCAACAGTTATAATATGCATTGTAGTCAGTTTTCCTTACCCATATTGGCCCTTTCTCTGTTTACTCATCCTCAAAAGAAGAGATTTGCTGAGAGGCAGTGTTTACTAACGGGATATTTTTGCTAAGGTCTAAGAAGTATTGGATGCTGTGCAACCTGAATATGTCTTGTTCCTATTACTTCTTTCATTTGTTTATCATTTTTTGAAAATTTTTATTGATACATATTAGATGTTTTCAGGACATGTGATCATTTGATAAATTGATATAATCAAATCAAGATAATTTGGATAATCTATTACCTTAAATATCTGTTTCCATTACTTCTTGTCCTGTGATTCTATGGGAGTTGCACTCCCTGATGTACTTTAGAAGCAGAGGTACTTGGTTCTGAGTAGTGGTACGGAGGGATGTATGGAAGCGTTCCTTTCTCTTTTCTCCTCCCTCCAAAAGAAAAATAAACAGTAATTATGCATTAAAGCAAAAGCTGTTAATATTTTGTCTAGAACTGACCTTGATTTCTGTGGTAAGGGCATGTTTTGATCATCTCCTATTCACCACATTGGTGACCGGGGGTTACCTCTTACTCTAAATAGTATGAGATTATGGAAAACAGGCATCTAACACCAGACAGATGAGACTGACAGCAGTTTATTAGTCACACACACTCACAGCCTGGGAAAGGAAAATACCCTGATATGTGCAGGGTCACATGGGGTTGTGCTCAGGCATGCAGTGAACAGGCAGGGTCTGTGGGGGGCAGGCTTTGTAGTAACAAAGTGTGATGGCAGCCTGGTTCCTGTAGACTGGATGTGATTGGTTGGTTTGAATAATGTTGAGAGCTAGCAGGGGAAGTGATACCTGTTAGGTTGGGACTTATGTAGAGTGCAGATAGTCTGGCTAATAAGGGAACTAGTCAGGTGGGGAGGTCTTCCCTCTGGGTGAGGAGCATACCTAATGAAAGCAGGAAAACATGTGGTTAGACCTTTGGGGTCTGTGAGGTTCAAAGGCATCAAGGCAGCAAATGAAATTTTGAGTCTTATAATGTAGGGCACTAGATAGAGGAAAAATAAACTATATTTCTCTTTTGTATTAGCAAATTTGTGTAGTTGATAGTGTTATAGTATGTGTCACCATAGATGTTCCTCAATCCAGTTTCAAAAGCCTTAAATTCAGTGTAAATTGCTCAAAGAATCTCACAGTAGGTTGAATGTCAGTCTCAGGACCGGAGTAGAAATGTTGTCCTTAGGTATTTTAGAAAGAATTTGGGGTAAGTGGTTTCAAAGACTGACATCCAGACATTTTGAAACTTTTGAGAAGATTTTAAAGAAAGCAGTAAAAGTGGTAGTTGCATTAAGCACCAAGAAGCGGACTACAGTAGTGCATTTGATATAACAGCAAGAAGATGAGGGTTCTGCTGAGTGATGCTTCGCTTGACCTCTCTGTTCCTTCTTTCTTTAATATATAAAATAAAGAATGAGTCTAGATGATTTTACAATCCTTTGTCTCTAAACTGATGGTGATAATTTCAGATAAATAGAAACATTTTATTTAGTGTCTACAAGGCCTAATTCTCCAGAATAATTACCCTTTGCCTGTCCCCTACTAATTTATGATTTCCTTTTCTTAAGCGCTTAACATGGAATGCACATTTCCTGGTACACAAAAAAATTTCTAAAACATGATTTTCAAATGAACAAATACATGTAGCTAAACAAGAGATACTTGTGGGAATTCTAAACAATGTTAAATATTTTGAGTCCTCTATTACTTCAACAGTAGAACACTATTACTAACTAGCTGGTTATATTATGAAAGTAATAACTAGGATTCACTGTGGGCATTACAAATGGCACTGAATGAATGGCCCATCAGACCCTATATGGCACATTGTTTCTCATGCGCCTGTTCAGCTAACCTGTGATCTAGAGAAGTTTAGTTAGTCTCATTCTAGACCTCAAGTCTTCACTTTGTCTCCTTTACAAGGATGCTCCTGATTTCAATCAGCTACTGGAAATGTCAGATGAAAAATGGCACAAACGTGAATTATGACAATAAAAGTTCATAAGCTACTAAAATAAAGTTATAGTACCTAAGAGCTGAGTCAACTGACAATGTTAAATGGAACATTTTACAACCAGTCCTGGGATAATGATTTAAAAAAAAGGCACACAGAGCATGAAGAAATATTTGATAGGAAACAGGCCCAAGATCCAGCTCAGGCTACATGATGGTGTGTGAGCTTACCTGGAAAGCAGGCAGGAGGAGGCGACAATCTAAGGTTTGTGGACTGCCTCCTCTGTGTCCGGCCCTTGACAGCCATTATTTCTTTGACTCCTCATGACAACTCAGTGAGGGAGAGTCTGTTGACATCATCTCATAAGAACTGAGGCTTAAGTGGTCCAATGATCTGCCCAACAACTACACTGTTAAGGCAAGACTTAACTTTAAAAGTCTGCCTGACTCCAAAGCCCATGCTCTTTCTATATCTTTTTATACCCAATTCTGTCTCTTCACATAGATAGATAATCTCCATATAAATAAAATAGATTTTAAGTATCCTGAGGAACCTTTATGTCTGACTTGATACAAGCATTTGTCCCATGCTATCAATTCAGGCGACGCTTCTCTTTACCATGTAAATTAGCTGTACCGAGAATGCTAAATGATACTTAAATATGGCAAAAATATGGGACTAGAATGAAGATGAACATTAGAAAGAAAGCCACATGCTAAAAATGATGTTTCAGGATGACTAAAGGAGCATTGTAGAAAGTCTGAATAAGTAATATAGTAGTCTTGTTTTTGGTTAGATAATCCCACTCACAAAATGTTTTGTCCATATCCAAAGATTTATATTACCTTTCTCTAACTTTTCTAGTACAAACGTCCTTCTCACCTGTCACACGAAACCTCCAAATACCAAGTCAGAGTACTTCTCATTTCTGTTTCCACAGCATCCCCGTGACGACAGTGCTCTGGCATGCCCAGGGAGATCTAGTGGTATCTCCTAAAAGGCTGGTATTTGCCGTGATGACACAATTTCTTAAAAATATTATGTTTTACCTTTAAGGGTCTCAGAAAATTTGTATTCTTCTTCTTCATCTGACTCTGTTATAGTATAGTCTTTTCAATTACTTCTTACGGACCAGAATTCATGCTCCAGGAAGAATTAATGTCATGTTAATTCTGAGGCTTCACATACTCTATGCAAACTCCTCTTACTCTAGCCAGAGAAACACGGTGATAAAAAGGTATAATCACATGACATGCAAAGTGCTGATGTGAAATGAGAAGGACAGAAATACGACTGGGATATTAATGCAAGAGGGGAAAAATGGCACTGTTTGAATAGGCTTAGAAAGATGGTTTAGTTCTTTCTGAAAATAAGTAGAATGTTATCTCACCATATCTTGACCTCCAACTCAACTCTCTCCATTCAAGTACAGTCAGATGTTTAGTTCCTGTGTGCACACACACACACATGCACACACACACATGCATACACACAAAAGCACACATATACACATCAAAAAGGCTACACAATATCCAATAGACAGACTTATAGAAAAACAGTCAGTGAACTTCATTTACCCATCTAAACATCAGATAAATTCACCATGTCACTATAGCAATAAAACAATATATTTTCATTATAATAGGACTCAAATCAAATTGTAAAGTGGAACTTACAAAATAGGTATGGTAATATTTATTTTGATAAGTATTATGATACCTATCATAATTGGCATTATTTTGCCAAATAACCCCTATTTGTCAGGCATTGTTCTAAATACTAAAAATAAAAGGATAAACAAGATGCACACAGCTTCTGCAAATTAACAGCATAATCTAGATTACCTTTACAACACAGTTCTGGTGACAAAATAATACCTGTTTTGTAAGTTCCACTTTACCATTGTATTTATCTGTGCTATAATTTATTTAGGCTAGCTTTCACATATAGGTCCAAGAATATAATAGACACAGCTAATTTGCACTGTTGATCCATAGTAACAGTCATTGAGAAGGTAAAAAACAAAAGACAAACAGCTTTAAATGGGAAATGGCACAATTAATCACAATTGCCATACTTATGCACTTGCTGACTGTGATCAGAACAGTTAAGTTAAATCCCATTTAAGAGTGTGCGTTGTTGAGGGAGACGCCAAAAACCACTTTCTACTGCAGGAAACAACCCTACAATCCATGTGTCAAAGGTGGTACTGAAGCCCAGTCCTATTGGTTCATAGACTGATTGCTCTGGTCCCACACCCTCTTTACCTCCCCTGTAGGAGTTGTTCCTATAAAAAGGCAAAGAAATGGTGAATCCTTGGCATTTGCATGTTCAAAGATGATCATTTCCTGTTCTCATAATGCATAACATTTAAAAAATTCAACTCATTCAGAGTTACAGTTAAATTCTCTCTGTTAAGTTAGATATTTCTCTTTTAATCATTCTGTAGTGCTATGTATCTGTAATACATTTGGTAATATTAGATCTCCTTGCTGTTTTTAAAGTATTGCCTATGAATAAGTACGGCATATATAAGATGTATAATATAATGCATTATATTTTATGTATTAAACGTTACCCCAAAATTCACTGAAGAAATAAAAAGTATGTGTGTCGACAGAGAAAAAGAGATACAGAGATAGAGTTATAGCACAGATCCAAAGCAAAAGTCAAAACTTAGAAGCAAATTAAAGCAATTACCTTGAATCCTGAATAGTTTCATATATACCCAGTATGACATCATAATGAAGTACAGGTACTTTATTTGGTAGTATCAAATTGAAGAATTTACTTATTAGGTCAAAAGAAAATTTCCATGTTAACCAGAGATTGCAAGTAATTTGACCAACAGGGTTATGTGATATTACCATAAGGTAGCCCTGGATTTATCTAAGTTGTGAAAATAATTTAACATCTATCACCTACATATATTATCTTACTATCCTTACAATTAGCATATGAAACAGACTATTTGGTCGCAGAAAATATTTTTCATTCATTCACTATATATTTGCCAAATAATCCCTACACGCCAGACACTGTTCTAAATACTAGAAATATAAGGATAAATAAGACGCACCCATGGCTCCTGTAAATTAATAAAATAGTCAGGATTACCTTTACAACCCAGTTCTTTTGACACCTATATTGCATGATGCAAATTAAGGGTGTTTTGTGACCTTCAAAGTATTTGGGGTGCTTTGCTTATCATTTTACTGTTAATTACAGAATTAAATAAATTTTGGCAAGTTTCAAATGAGCTTTTTTGCTTTGTGGATATTACTGAAGCGAATAAAGCTCTATGAATTGTGGAATGATAAAATATTCACAGAAACTTACAACTCTGCAGCTGAATAACAATTACATTTGTTCCAAACAGGCAATTGGTTTCCAAACACATTAAACAAAGGCAATTTAGAAAGCTTCTTCTTCTTCCTGGCATCATTAACATTGTTGAACGTCCTGGGATTCTGGAGTGTTTCACAAAGGTAAGTAAGTGTGTGGTAAGATGAAAAATTTCTGAGTCCATGAAATATTGGTCTGGGAACTATCACTGAGCCAGCGGGAATTCTGTATGCCATGACTGGACAAATTAGCATATTAGAGAAATTCAACAGATTATTCAGAGCAAGAAATTTCAATTTAGACTTCACTTTTTCCATTGATCCTCATAATAAAAGAGTGCTTTACAAATTCTAAAACATGTTCTAACACAAGATTTTTCTCTCCACTATGTAGCATCACTTTAGAATTAGAAATAGCCATATTGATAATAAGAATGAGTGAATCATTATCATTAAAAGCAAATATCATTAAACAAATAGCTAGAAATCTAATGATGCTTGAGATTTGGATCCTATTCAGGCCTTTAAATCAGCAGTGAGCATTTCAAGGTCAATTAAAAAAAAAACTGTAAAAAATCCCCTAGCTTGTAACCTGAGACCACCTGAGAGTGGCTTAATATGTACCATCTACCATCCATCAATCCATTGCCAGACCATCTCTCTCTCTTTCTCTCTCTCTCTCTCTCTTACCCCTTGACATATTCTTGTACAGCTGTGTACTTTTGAGAAAATTCTCTAACATCTCTGGGCCTCTGTTTTTACACCTGTAAAATAAAAAAAACCTCTTGTGGGTTTTAGGGGGACGAATATTGATAAAGGGCTAAGCACAATGTCTGTCACAAAGCAGGAACTAAACAGATTTTCATTTTCCTCATTTCCTTCCATCCATTTATCTCTTTAGTCATGTAGTCATATATTATCTCATCCATTGTCACTTCACCCTTGCCTAGATCATTATTTTATTAACCTAACAAATCTCTTTTTGAACATCAGCTATGTGATAGGTAGTGTCATAAACTAGAAAGATGCAAAGTCAGTAAGTCGATAAAGGTTTAATTCCATCAATGTTCTGCTCTGATTGGCTTATAGTCCAGTATAAGAGAGGATCAAACCTCATGCAAGGCAGAATTGATGACAAAATTAAAAACCTTAATGGCTTCCTGAATTTTTATATTTCTTACACTCTAAAGTATATAAATTATCAAACTGATCCTTTCACAGTGCATACTTTTCCTAAATGCTGATCTCATTCTTAGATGGACAATCATATTAGAGAATCAGAAAGTTTTACAGAAAGATCCAACAGGAATGTTCTTAGCATTGTAGCAAAATAGATTTCACAGTGAAAATGGAAGCTGGAGGCACGGCCTCCTTTCCCTTCATCCACTGCCTTTAGACCCATAACTGTTGCTCATCCAGTAATTCTCAAACACCTGCACTCTCAATTTTTACTGTGTATCCTATGGTAAGGTTTGATCCTTGAAGTAATTTAGTTAAATTACTTGTCCAGTTCCACAATTTATCTACTATACAACTTCAGCAAGCTGTTTAACCTTGCTAAACCTCGGTTACTTCATTTTAAAAACAGAAATGATAAGAATGGTAACTGTGTCATAAGGTTTTTGTGAGGATGAGTAAATGATCCAAAGTGTTAGCAATTATAATTATTATGGTCTCATACCTAGCTGTATGATCTCTTCTTCCTCCTTTTTATTCTTCTCCTGGACTTATGCAGAGGTGTGGCCAAGATGACCACGGTCATGGACAGAGTTCAGGTAGAACTAGCACTGGACCCAGAATCCATTAGCTCAGGGTGACTCATTAACATACCCACTCAACCAACAGGCTAAGCATTGTTTCAGGCACTAGAGTTGAACGGCAAATTCCTAGTCCACATGGAACCAACATCTAGGGCCCAAAGGAAAATATTCACATGTGATTCTCTCTCTGTGATTGTGGAACAAGTCAGTTTCAGTAAAGAAGTGAATAATAGTGGTGTGGGGGGCAGAGGACGAGGTAAGAATAAAAACATACAACACACCAGAGATTGGAAGAACCAAAGATGAGAACAACGAAGTAAAAGGTAAAGTTCATTCAGAAATAAATCTGATTCTTACCAAATCTCCATCTCCTATCTACTTTCCCTTCTTCTGCATACTTTTTTAGGGAGAAAATAGAGAGAGAGAGGAAGAAACAAAGCAGGAAGAAAAGAAATTAATTTTCCATGTGTTGAGCAGCCTGTGTGTCTTGGATGGCATGCTATACACACACAAACAACTGCGCATCACTCCCTACCACCTTCTTGACGTATAGATCTTATAATTCTACTTTATAAATCAGAAAACAAAACTGCAAAGCCAGTTAATTAAATTCACAAAGTTCACATAACTAGGATTCAACCCCAAATTTGTCTCTGAAGCCCACACTTCTATACTCCTGTTCTGTGCTGCCTCCAAGTGCCATAGAAGAGTCCTCTTCTTGCTCTCTGACAATTCCTAACTTGGTTTGGGAGAAAACGATTGCCTTCAGTTAAAGTAACTCTACCCGCTACCACCTGTTGACCAGCACCCCACAAGAAAAAAAATGGATGTCACACAGAAGAAAGGAGAGCCTGGAAAATTTGCCTCCAGAGATTAAGCAGCTAGAACCAATGACATCAATGCCAAGGCACATGTTGCTTTGGGGACCTATTGGCCATTGGGATTGGACAGGCCAAGTCAGAAGAGTTAAGCAAGACACAGTATGAAATCTGAGAAAGAAAGACCATTGTCTACAGTGAGGAGCACATGATTGCAATTTTTTTCTATACTGATGGTTTTTGTCAAAAACATAAGCATGCTCATTATTCACATAAGCAAGAACAATGGCATGCAAAGAAACAGGCAAAAGTACCAACGTCCCAGGGACAGCATTATTGAAACATATTACTTATAAGTCAAATTTTATCTAATCTCAGCACATATGCAATCATAATCCCATTTTTATCAAACCCAAAGGTGTATTGGTTCAAAGCCAGGTGACAGTGGTAAATCTTTCAAAAACAAGGCAGTCCCAACTTATTCCTGTCCTCAAGATCTTGAAGACAGTGGATTAATTAGGAAACAACATCCTCACCAAAATACAGGTAGGATGAGGTCTGTTTTAGCACCCTAGACACCTCCACATCCAAGTTCATATTTGTCTGGCATAATATTAGGGTAAGTCCTAGAATCAAACCAATCTTGTGAGGGCCCCGGGACATTCTCTCTCAAATCCCCAACTGCATAAAACTAGGAATTATACTTACATATAAAGCCAGACTTACCTGTCACATGTACCAAAAAAAAAAAAAAAAAAAAAAAAAAAAAAAAAAAAAAAAAAAAAAACAATCCCTCCACAATCAAATCTGAAGTACTGCATTGGTGACATTTCATACTCGAGGCTTTCCAGTTTAGGGATGAAGAAAGTAGGTAGATGAAATGTATTTTCCTTGCTGAAAAGTATTAGGTAAATATGTCTATAGTGCTTCATATAAATATGTATCCTATCCCACATTGGGTGCTAAAATAAAAAGAAATTTCAGGTGTTTTGATGGGGAGGGGCAGAGAGTGTTTGTTTTTTATAACTAACACCACCATCCTTCCAGTGTTGTAAAACACATCTTATAAAGCTGATAGTGCACTTGTTTTGTCAACTATTTCAGTCATCTTTTGTGCCTATGCTGTAAGAATTATTGAAAGTGACATAAATCAGAGACAAATGACCAAAATTGTTCAGGCAGTATTCATTCCCTTACAGTTAAAGTTATTTTTAGTAATGTATTGAGAAGGAAAAGAAGGTAAAATTAACTTTTGAAACCTTCACAAATCAAAAATAGATGACTGACCTCATCTATTTGTGAGACTCGTGTGTATGTGATAAAATTAAACTTACAGCCGATATTCATTTGTTCATTTGCCAAATATTTATTGGACATCTACTATGTATCAATCACTGGGAATAAAGCAGTGAATAAAGCAATTTGAAGTTTCTATTTTCTTGGAACTTACCCAAAAGTGTTTAAGAAAGTAATTTGTCTTTAGAGGCAGTATGCCATACAGGAAAAAGGCCAGGATTCAGAATAATCAAGTTCTGGTTCCAAATCCGAACTCTGCCAACTACTATTTCTATGAATGTTAAGCAAGTTATTTAACCTCTTGGAAGTTTCAGTTTCTCAGTCTGTGAAATGGGATGATTCTAAGTACTAGCCCCTTACACGGGGCTAGTACTTAGAAGACACTGGAAAGGCAGGCTTTACTGGAGGTTGGGGATGGAGAATGCACAGTCTAGAAATATATTCATGGAATCCTTCTTTGACAATGGCAGCTTCCACATAGTCTCAGCACTGAATTTACAAATCCCCACTAAACCTCTTACGAGTCCTGACCGCCATGAAATCTGTCAAGTCAACAGGCTTTCAGATTTAGCACCTTCTCTCCATCAGCACTGAAGACAGCACAGCAGGCTGTAAAAAAGCGCCACCTAAAGGTCCTTCTGAGACACTTTACTAAGTCACGAAAACTCCTTTGTCCTTTTAAAAAGACTGTTTTGGTGAGCAGCGCTCTTAAATAATCAACAGTGTTGTGCCAGTATCTATGAGCCCATCATAAAAGGTAGACAAGCACAGGACGGAAGCAAATGATTTATCAGTTCATCTACATCTGGTCCTAAGAAAAGCTTTCTTTCTTTCTTTTTTAGGTATTGTAATCTAAATCATTTTAATGCCCAGAACATCCGTGGAAGTAATCTTGAAGAAACACTTCTCCTCCACGAAAAGTCTCTGAAATTTTATGGCAGTGTACAGAAATTTTCTTCAAGTATTGATCTTTGGGAGACAGCCCTGTGAAACTGTATTTGGGTCTACCTGTCTTATGAGAACAGTATTCATTGTTTTCTTCTTCAGTTGAGCATTTTATATGTTTCAGTGTAAGAGCCAATAGATATGAAGGTGATTTTATAAATATCATCTGTATACTTTACTTACAAAGACTAATTATGAACTTCCTGGTAAACCGTGATGCTTTTGCATTAACATTATGCATTAGAATTAATAAAATAATTTCAAAGTCTAGGTGATTACTCTATGACAAAAAAAAAATGAGTTTTCTATACACTAGTAATACCTTACAACTTTCTACAATGGTTCAGTCATTGAAAGCATATGACTTTTTTTGGAGTTTTAGTGATTCATTAGAAGCAAAATGACAGTATTTTAATACACTCTCTTTCAATACACTTATTGAGAACTTATTACATGCCAAGCATTGTGACCTTATACTGTATATAGCTGAGTAAATAATAGACATATACATGATTTTGCTATATTTGCTCTTAATATTACACTATCAAGATATGACTTCATTAAAGAAATTTTCTCTGAATTTAAAAGCAGTATTACTAAGATAGATGTCCTTAACAAAGAGAACGTCCACACACTAAGAAAGTTGAAAAATAAATGTAAGATACGGAATTGTTGGAATTAAAGGAAAGAGGAAATGAAGGAAGATAAAATGAGGAGTGAGAGGAGGGTAAGTGACCAAACCAAATAGAGCTGCTTAAAGGAATTATACGAATAACATCTTTTGGTCTCCACTGCCAATTCAGAAGCATTCAGAAAATCATCTTCTAAGAGTTTGTTCTCTTATAAGCAAATATATGTATAAACTCATTTGAAAAAATCAAATAAAATTAATGTCTGTTTCTTGTAGCAGTATTTGTCAAAATTTGGTTGAGGACAACTTGCTACAGGTGAATTTTTCTGGCCCCTACACAGACTGCCTTAACCCAAACCTTTTAGCAGATTGGGGTCCAGGAATTGGTGGTTTTAATAAGCACATCTAAATCATTCTCATGTTCCCTAAAGTTTAAAAGCCATTGCTTTTCCAGGACAATTCATGCTGGATAGGACAGGTGAGTTTATCGGCTGACTGCAAATTATTCTACAATTATGCACCTCCCTTGTGTCTACATAAAATATTTTAGGTCTGTAGAATAAAAGATTTATTCAACTTGATTAGGTAGGCTATGCATTTTTAATTGCAAAAGAGGAGCTGTAAAGCACCAGGTGTTTTTCTTACTCAAACTATTTTTTGTTTGAGGACAAATGAAAAGACTTGCTGGTAGAGGCATAAATTCTTTACCTGCAACTTTTTCAAATCCTTTCTGTTTAGCAATCGTTTCCTAGCAAAACAGTGAGGCAGACCCTTGATATTCCTTAGAAGCTTTCCTTGCTGCAAAAGGTTAAATGCCAAGTTTGCAATTTGGGTTTAATGAACACCCAAAAGAGCAAGAAATCTTTAAACACTTCACCTCAGTACAAGTGGGAAGCTCTAGTCTCTGCTACTGTTAGAAAAGGGGTCTGCTTCATTTCGTTCTCCCCACTCCCCACAAATTTGCCTTCATCTCCTTAATTCCTGCATCATAATAGAAAAAGGTGCTCATTATGCTTTCACTTGTACTTAGAGATGAAAGATCTATAGAATTATAAAGTTGACCCAAAGCAAACACCAAAAGAGCTTAGAATTCTCACGTTGGCGTTGACACTCGTGATTAGCTAAATTGCAGTAACTACACAGGCTTCCATTCAGAACAGGATGCATTCACACAGCAGTTTCTTCTCTACTGCCTAGCAACATTATCACTGAGCACCTGGAATAGTTTAGGCATTAAGTGTAATTGGTTTTGCTTTACATAAATCTGTAGCTTTGTAAATAAGCGGAGCATTTCAGCTTCTATATAACACCAATTAACTTAAAGGGATGCGTTGTTTGCAGAAGCCTGCTGGGTTTCGTACTGTATTTCTTCAGTAATATGCTCAGTGGCGGGTGAAGTTCTGTGTCCCTGCAGTGTTCCATTTACTCCAACCACTTGGTGCCAAGGGTCTGTACCCAGCCACTCATTTGCTCCATTTTTCACTGGTGGCAAAAGGTTGGAAAAGTGAAGACTTCCCTAAGAAGCACCTTCTGTGCTCTATTTCTGTCCATGATCAAGGCCTGAAAGGCGAGGTATCTGAAAATGTTTTCTGTGACCTGCAAAGCACAGGTCTGACCCCACCTGATTCTGTTCACAACTGACAGTAACATCTCTTTTCCTTTTTTTCTTGTAACACTTCAATCCACTGTAGCCAAAAGTCACTACATTGACCCTCTATACAAAATTAAGAAAACCATACTCTTATTACATAAATTTACAAGTGAAAATGATTTTCAACAGAGTGACTTCTTCAACAGCACAAAATAACCTTCAGAGGTCTGCTCCTGAAAGTGGGTAAATGTTCCCAAGCTGCATGGATATTTCTCCTTATTTCTTCTTTATTCCATTTAATCCCTTATCTCTCATATCCCCTTCAGGTAATCTTGATTTATAGCATTCTTCCACCCTGGCAAACCTTTAATTATCTTGGTTTCTGAAAGTGTTTTATCAACTATCAGAGTAACAGTATCACCAAATAACAGCCCATAATTCCAAAAAGTTTCCTATTATAATATTGCACGATTTATAAATTGAAGGAGAGAAAATAATCTCTTCTGAAAACTGTCAGGACCCCTTGTTCTATGAAAACCAGGGCTTCCACACTGGTACTCTGAGCCAGTTGGGCAAGAGGCATCTACCATCTACCCATTCTCTCATGACAAGAGAAGCCAGTGTACAATTATTGGTCCCAGACTTATGAGTAAAGCCCTTAAAATCAGCAGCCAAGTGATGACAGCACACAGGTGCTGCTAGAATTCAGGTCTGCTTGTAGAGAGCAGGGAAATTAAAGAAACCACTAATAGTAACAACTCACATCTGTGTCACTTCTTACAGTTTACAAGTTGCTGTCACACATATTATCACATTTGATTAGCACCACCACTCCAGGAGGCAGGCACATTTTAGCATGTCCATTTTGTAAATGAGAAACTGTAACTCTTGAGACCTTAAGTGATTTATCAAGAGTCACAGAGATAGTAGGTGGCACAGACAGGACTTGAACCATGGTCTGTCTGTCGCTAGAGTGCTAGCTCCTTCTGCAATACTCATAATGTCACCAACATTGGATCATTTCCCAGCCACTTAGGTGAAACACTCTCTACATCATCCAAAAGGGAACAAGAATGGGAGAGAAGATTATGTGAAGGTTACAGACTCTGACAAAAGTTTTTTAAGCATCTCTTCTCCCTCACTCAGCTCTCCCTATGGAGCCATACCGTGTCCGACATGGACCTCAGGATGTCAGAAACAGTCCCTGAAAAGACCCACCCAGATTGAACACCATGGCAGGGGAGGAGTTCTCAATGTCAAAACCATCCTTTCCTTCTCCTTTCATCAAACGGACTTGGCTGTGCTACAGTCAATTGCAAACTGCCTTAGAAAAGCAATTTGAGAAAAACAAAGGTACCCTGAAAAGTGTTACTAATAATTATGGTGACTTCCGTAGTACTTGTTCAGTTCAAGACATTGTTCTAAGTGTTTTCAATGCATTTGCTCATTTAATCATCACAGTAACCCCATAAGTTAAATACAATGGTTAATTGTATTTTATAGATAAGAAATATGAAAGATACAGGAGCTAATAACTTTCCAAGGGTTATGCAGACAGTATGGGTAGAGTCAAGGTTTGGACCCAGGACATTTGTCTACAAAATCTGGGGGCCATTCCTTTCTACATAACTGTCTCTCAGTATAGCTGTTATCTACAGGAGGTTTTTCTATATTCCGAGGGGAGCTGAATTCCAGGGAAGACAGTGCCTAAGCTTAATGGATTTTGTTTTTTTTCTGTCCCAACACATAAGAATATGACTTCTTCCATCGGTAATTACCAGGTTGAAACAACATTGATACTCAACATCCCTACACTGTCCCCCTTTCTCTCCTTTCAAGAATAATTACTTTCTCCTGCTTACATGTGAAAGTAAACAGATATTCTAGGAAGAATAAATATTTTATCAGCAACATTCAGTAAGATGAGAGAAGACATGTGGTTGGGTGATCTGAGGTGGAAATAGTTATTGTAAGGCAAGGAAAAGAGTTTGTTAACACCAGGCACAATGGCTCATGCCTGTAATCCCAGCACTTTGGGAGTCCAAGGCCAGTGGGTCACCTGAGGTCAGGAGTTCAAGACCAGCTCGGCTAACCTGGTGAAACCCCATCTCTATTGAAAAGACAAAAATTAGCTAGGCATAGTGGCAGGTGCCTGTAATCCCAGCTACTCAGGAGGCTGAGGCAGGAGAATCATTTGAACCTGGGAGGTGGAGGTTGCAGTGAGCCAAGATCGCACTGTTGCACTCCATCCTGGGTGACAGAGCGAGACTCCATCTCAAAAAAAAAAAAAAAATTTGTTAAATGCTATATACAGTGAGGAAGTTAAAGAAGGAACCCAAAGGCACAGTTCTTGGGGCAAAATGTCAGGTTCTGCGGCAGTGAGTGGGCACATCTATTTAAGAATTGTTGTAGGCATACTCTTCTGGTGTTCCCCAAATGGCAATGTATGCCCTCTGTTTCTCATCTGAAACAGTCACAGTTAGACCAAGATAGGAAATGGAGGTCAACTAGGCTCTCTGCTTCCTTAACTTCTATGCAGACATTCCTGACATTTCCTGGATTCTTCCAGCCCTGTCCTCCTGCCCTTCTTCTCCAGGAATACTCAAAGATAGTGATGATAATTCTTTCTCTCTCTCTCTCTGCCTGTGTGTTCCATGAAGGCTGCTAGAGTACAAAAGATGCTATGTGAAAATAATAATAAATAAATAAAAGATGCTATGTGACAGCCAGGACCATTTCCCCAGGTGATGCACTGCCCCTAGTCCACTCAGAGGCTTTATTAATTATTAAATAATAATAGCACCCAAACTCTAATCTATCATTCATCACACAGGTTCGAATCCATTTCCTGGCTGAGAGTCAGTTTGTTTCTTAAGCTTGCTAAACCACAAGTGATCAAATCTCATATACATACAGTAATGAGTCAATAGCCTATGACAAGTGCCTATTACCATGGTAGCAGCAAATCAGGAGCACCTTTAGTGACATTTATGCAAAGAAAAAGGCAATGGTTCTACCAGGGACATAAAATGGAGAAGAATGAGATCAATGGGAGGCAGAGATTTGGTAAAAATCAGGGGAAAGACACCAGAATGTTAAAGATATCACCAAGAAAACCTACATCTCATCATCGTGGTCAGTTTTTATTTTCCCAAAGCAATCAATAGTAGCAAAATGAGGAGAGTGGGGAAGACATGCCAAATTTTAAAATAAGTGAAAGAGCTCTCTGTCAGAAATGCCAGAGGGGAAGTGAGAACCTCAAAAGTGAGAGCAGTAAGTGGCCATCTGGAAATTTCGATTTCCCATTTTGGCACACGGCATAGCACATAGTAGGCATCTTGCTTCGTCTGAGTTGACTATGACTCCTCTTTGAGCCTGCCATACTGCTTTTTTACCATTTTCCCAAGCATCTCTTACACGACCTAAACCTGCCCGATCAATTTCCGCTGTGTCTCCAGAAATAGACTTTTGTTTCTAGTGCAGCTTGTGCAGTTCTGCCTTATTTCATTGCAGCCAACCATGCCTGAAAGACAGGAACAAACAAGATGGACAAGCGTGGCAGTGAATAAACCATTTTACTGCAATTAGAAGTTCACGGAGAATAAATTATCCTCTAGTTCAAGCTGTCCAGCAGTAATTCTCATTAATAATAACACTTCAACAACAGTCTGCTTCCCACATCGACAGTGAGTGCTAGAAACTTTTTCATTGCTCTTGAAGCAGGAGTCACATCCCAGACGCTAGCCCAGATTGCCATATGCAACACACAAGAGAAAGTTTAAATTACAAAGAAGCTTGAATGTAGAACTGGCCGTGAAGTTCACTGGCTAGATAAGCAGGTGGAACAATTCAAAGTGACCCTCTCGTTCAAGCTTTCTCTTCTAATTCATGCTAAATAGTAAATGGATTTTCACATTAGTGAGTAAGTCTACCTAACAGTACAGTTTCCTGAGGTCTGTCCTCTTGCCTCATCAGAGATGTCTCTTTCACTACCTTTCCAATACATGGCCACAAGGCTACAGAGAATATGGGGTCCATGAAGGCAGGGATTATTGCAAAGAAACACACATACACGTATATACATATATTCATATATATACAGAAATGCAGATATATACACATATATACATATGAAGTCCCAGCTAGCAGTTGATGCTGGATGTCATCTAGAAGACCCTCCACATGGGAGTTGCATCCCGGATGGTATCTTCATGTTGTCTTCCTAGATGAGCTACTTTGACTTTCTTCAAAGCTTGGTGGTTGGTATGGAAAGGGAAGCATCTCAGTAAAGAAAGCAAGCCAGGCTGAAATCCCATTGCCTCTTATGTTATAGCCTTGGGGGCTAAACGGTATCACTACCACTGCATTCTATTTGCTGAGGCAATCTGAAAGCTCTACAGCTAGTGCTCGACTTACGACCACAGTCGGGCCTGCAGACCGGTCGTAACACGATTTGGTCATAAGTTGAGTAGGCTATATGTACAGTTGAAATGGTGCACGCAGAGATGGTAGTGCTGCCGGAAGCTGGTCCACAGTGTCGTATGCCCAGCTGGGCAACGTTTGCACTGCCAGACGCGGAGCAGTCGTGGCTAGTGATTGTGGTCATAAAGTCGAATGGTCGTAAGTTGCATACGTGGTAAGTCGATCAATACCTGTATTTAGATTTAAAGGGAAGGAAA